CACACACACACACAGAGAGAGAGAGAGAGAGAGAGAGAGAGAGAGAGAGAGAGAAAGTCAGAGAGAGAGACAGAGATGTTGTTGATACAACTCTCCGTGCCAGGCCTGGTGAAGTAATAGTGAACCCTCTCTTACTACTAGTAAGAGAGGAGAAACATGAACCAAAGATGAGATGGGGGTGGGGTGGGGGGGGTGGGGGGGTCCTTGATTTACTCATTGAGAACGTCTTTCTGGTTCGGTCACTGTGGTAGGGCTGTCTGTGTTTCCTCGCCCTGTCTCGTCTGCTGGGTGGAGTAATCAGTGTCATCACACTCACCTGTGTCTCTGATTAGTCTCACTGGTGTCACCTGGTGCCCTGGGTGTATATAGACCTGCCTCACTCATGCGCTGCTTGTGGGATCGGTGTTCTCTAGCTGTGTGTGTGAGAGTGAGTGGTCTGTGTTTGTTGTTTGTGTTGGAGAAGTCGCCCAGTTTTAAGAAAGACCATGATGTTGGAGAAGAGCACGCCTGTAGTCGATGCTGTAATCCTGGGAAGTTTTGTTGCTGCAGAACCTGCTGCCTGTAAACGGTGCTTCATCCCTGTGAGTTTCTGTTGCTGCAGCTGTAGATAAATCACCTGCTGCATTTGGGTCCAACCTGCTTCCTGCCTCGCCCTCACGTAGCACACTGTTCGATTCACTCTGGATGCATTCTCCAATACACATTAAATAATAATCATAATAAGGTTGAGCATCAAAGTACAGTTCACTGAACCTAACAGTCCATTTAAAAAGGCAGAGTGAGGACCGTGGTGCTGAAGGTTGTACAGCTCTGCATCATGACGACGGGGAAACACAGTTGTCTCTTTCGTTACAGCTCTGCATCATGACGACGGGGAAAAACAGTTGTCTCTTTCGTTGCTAACAAACACACACACACACACACATACAACTTATAACAGGCAGAAGAATTAAGGAGAGTGTGTTTAACAAATGGAAAGAAAAAGGGAAGACAGAAACAGCCTGTGTTTGACATTAGGCCGTGTGTCTTACCCAGGGACACACTGGCATATTGACCAGCAGAGCCTCGTATCAGTTGAATAGAGACCACTTATTATAAGTGTATTATACAACTTGTATTCAGCACAGTCATCCTGGCCTCTCCTCCTTCACATGAGCTCATCTATTTGTTCAATTACTCACTTTTTGGCCAGAAAAAAAAAAAAAAGGCAGCGTGCTGATGTGTTCAACTCTCACACTGACCTTTGGGCAGCTGCACAGAACATCACACCAAATGCTCTTGATGTCTTTTATTAAAAAACGGTGCCACTTTAAAAGTCAATTAGAGGCCTGTGGGTGAGAGAGCAGTGACAGAGGGAAGAGAAATCTCATTTCTGTGTCACAGGGAGTTTGAACAGGTGTCGCCGCGGTCTGAGAACACACCAGAGTGGCACTCTTGTTTTCTAAACATCCATTTCAGCGGTGTGCAAAGGCGACTCTTTGTACTGCGGTTGTGCCAGCGTGTGTGAGCCCCGCCAGGACCAGTCTGCAGGGCTGTGGCTGATATTTAATTCAGCATTGTGTAAATGTGTGTGTGTGTGTGTGTGTGTAGACAGTGGCACACTTTATCAAAACACAGAAGCCCAGGAACATGGTCTGTTAAATTTTAAACAGCAAAAGCCCAGCAGCCTGTATAACAATATGTGTGGACGATTGGCAGCGGGAGATAAACCTGCTGCTGTGGGGGTGTAATTGACAGTTTAAATCATTTACACGTGCTGTAAAAACCAATGTCTCCTTTTATGACGGGACTCTAAACAAGCAGACACCAAAACAATCATTCACCTTCGCTTTAATGACACCTCGTCAGCGCGTCAGTGCAAATATCATGAGCACAGCTGATGAATTATGGATGGGTACCAGCCATCCTGGGACACGGACCAGTCCACAGGGTCAGTCACAGTTAAACACTCTCCAACACAGGCAGCGTCGTTGGTCTACAGTAGATCCTCTCGGCTGAACGTCCACTGACAGCTCCCCCTACCGCCCTCCCTCCAGTTGCTCTCCCTGCGGGGAAAAACCTGTCCTTGGGACTTTTTTTTTCTCTCTCTCCACCGGCCATTTAGGAATTCTGCTCATGATGAATCGGAAACACAGAGAACTCCTGCTAGCACTCAGCCCTAATACCTCCAATTAGGGCTGGAGCCAGGCTGAAGACTGATGGTGCCAGATGTAAAAAAATAAAAAAATAAAAATAAAATAAAGATGGCCAGCTGCCAAAAGTGCCTGCTTCTCTCTCCGTCTTCAGTTTGAGTCTCTGGTGAATAGAATGCAGCATCAGGAAGAAGAAGAAGAAGAAGCAACGGTGGGAAAAAGACAATTTACAGAACAAAGAATCCAGAGGAAGACAAATGTAGTGTAACCTTGTGAGGGCAGTAACAGATGGCAGAAAGATGATTTTTTTTTTTTTTTAAATTACATTGTGTAAATGTATCGTTACTGCAGGAGACTGGGACGAAAATTGGTTTTAAACGAAAGGAAAGGTGATTTAGACAAAGATTTGAACAAGTACTTTAAAAAGGAAAACCTAAGGCAAACTACTGTGATTACTGTGGATAACTGCAATTTAAACTAAAAAAAAGGTGAAACACAAATGTATCCATCTTCAATCTGTTCCAATTGGTTTGTTTTGATGAGCTGTAAGTAAATATTCACAAATCATTAGAGGTAATCACCATATAAAATAAAGAGACGGAAAAATAGAAAATTTAAATATTTTAAATTAGTGTCTTGTGAATTGAAGCGTGTGTGGGCTTTAGGAACTCTTCTCAAATGATCTGTAATGTCAGCAAACAGCTCTTTAAATAGTTTATGGTGTCAATCATTGGTCCAGGCTTTTTAAAAAACAAACAAAAATGTAAACAAAATGTAAATGATGTCTTCTGGAGGTAAACGGAGACGTGGACACTTTTATGATTGACACCACTGGCTGGGATATTTACACAGCGTCCAGTTTTGGGAGTATTTTGTTGACTTTGAGCCTCATTCATCAACACAGCATCTGTGCTTTTACTGTGTTTGTACAAACACATAACTAGAAATGTACACATTCTAAAATTGGTTTGTGTTTTGCAAACACACACAGACTAGTCGCGGTTTTAGTTTAGTGTCTCGTGTGATTAACAAGTGGATTTTTAAATAAACTAAAAAAAATCATCAAGTTGATGTGTCTTCCCATCAAAAAAAATCATCAAGTTGATGTGTCTTTCCATCCAGTCTGAAAACTTCAGTGTCGACGTAGGTTACATTTATTATCTATCGTTTATTTTTATTTTATCATTGAATTGGAGGTAAAAAAAAAAGGATAGAAGATGCAAAAATAGTGCAGGTTTTGTTGAACAATAACAACAAAACAGTAAAACTACATTGGTGGTAAAAGATGGAGAATGGGAGAAAAAAAACAACAATCAACAGGTTTTGCTGTAGCTCTGAAATGCAGCTGTTCTGCCTTAGATTTTTATTCTCTGAAAATAAAACTGTTGTCTTCTTTCTTCATTACCACCAAATCATACACTATCTACTGAAGACAACAAACATCAGAGGAGTTCACTGTCTTTCTCCAAATCCCCTCATTTTATAATCCTATTTTAGCATAGCCTATCAGTATGTAATCAGCATTCAGCTGCTTTACATCAAATGATAATGAAAAAAAGGGATGAAACCCTCCCAGAAGTGAATCAATGAGAACGATAAATCTTTACTCAGAAGACAGGATATGATTTTTCCTCCTGGGTTTAAAGTTCCACTCAGCGCTTCCCTAAGACTGTGCCCTGTTCTTGCTTCATCTCTACCTTCAAAGCTGGTCCCTGGACATTGGACAAAGTATGTGTGTAATACCAAACTTTATCTGGAAAAAGTTGCGCGAAACTCTGTCCACATTCTGCCCACTCTGCTCGGCTCACGGGTTTTGCTATGAAGTGGATTTCAGGCTAGAGAGGTCGAACTGTAGGGTCCTCATATGGTCATCAACACCACTCTCTACATGAAGCCAATTGGCTTGATGCCACCGTGGACTCTGTTAACCAGTTCCCATCAGTTGCACTTTTTAGGCAACTTGGCACCAAGACCCAGACACAAATGTGGGCCGGCAGGAAAAAGCAAAAAAAAAAAAAACAAAAAACTGTCCAACTCCAATTTCCTTCAAGGTTGTCTTGGTGACGGATGATGCTACTCTTCCGAGTGTGACCCGTGTTTTCATCTTCCATTTGGCAGCGTGGGCCACATTTCTTCCCCCGGTGAAAGGAGGGGAAAGGTCCTGATGGATGCAACGCTGAGACTAAGCTAGCTGTAGCTGCTGCAGCCAAAATAAATCACTGCGCTAACACAGTAAGATGGAGAGATGGGAGCTGGATGGAGGACAGAGTGGTACTGTTAGCCAGGGGTGCCAATTGGCCAGGTTAAATATAATTACCGCAAATAGAGGACAAACACGCGCGCCCTCTCACGCACGCACACGCGTACACACACACACACAGAGGGAAAGGTACACACAGTCATCTGTCTATGAGCTAAAGGGCCACAAATCAGTGGCTGTTGAAAAGCGTCAGCAGTGAAACAGAGAAAGCACTCCAGTTAAAGATGTTGATGTCAATGTTTCTCTACTCTCAGCGCTGCCAATACAGATCAATAACAATTGAAACGTTAGCATTAAAAGCTCTAAAACCTAATTGAATTGTGACTGTGTGCCGTAATCGCACAGACATTTAAGACGCCGCATATTTTCTGCTGCTTTTACTGTAGAAACAGTAAAAGTCAGCATTTTAACACCATGTTGTAACAACTGCAAACATACATGACGCATTTACTGCGATCCACGTATAACAGGAGTCTGTGATCTCCCTACGACCACAGGGGTTTTATGCCCAGGAAGTTATGACTCCTCTGTAAATTATGTCACAGCGTTTTTATGCGGCTGTAAATACAGCCATCCTTCACTGTGTGTGCGTGCCTCTGTGTGTCTGTGTGACAGTGGAAAGCAGCACGTGTGGCTGTAGATGTGTCGGCGATGACTATCAAACCGTTTGAGTGTATTCGGCTCTTATCGGCCGCCAACTGAATGAACGTATATGGCTCACGTGAATGTGAGGACCACACAAGAAGATCAGCAAAGGGCTCATTCATGCAGAAGAACAATGATGGAGAGTGTGTTCAGGCAGAGCAGAACAGCAGGTGGGACTTTTTCACGAACTTTGAATGGAGAAAAGTACAAAAATAGATGGATTGGGAAAGTGAAAAGATGAAGGAAAAAATGTTCCTGAAGTGAAACTGAAGCACGAAGCTCATGATGTTGTGTTTTTTTTGTGGTCAATATTGAGTGACATTCCAGCCTTGCATTCTAACAGGAACAGTGTTTTACTTTTAGTAAAGTTTTTATACCTGTAAAGATAAGTTTGCATACCATGTAGCACATTCACAACACCGAGGCACCAAGTGCTGTAAGGTGGAGGAAGTCAGGGCACTACACTATAGCACATTCACAACACCGAGGCACCAAATGCTGTTTGTTTTCTAAAAGAAATAGCCTTGAACAGTGGTTCTCAAACTGTGGTACGTGTACCACCAGTGGTATGCGAGTGCTCTCTAGTAGTACGTGAGGAAAATTCATATTTTACTACCACTGCATCACTGCTATAGTGCCTACAGTAACGTTGCCTGTCTGCTTTTCAGGCTATATGGTGTCATATTTGTCCTCTTATCTTCTCTTGTTTGCCAACAGCAAACAAGAGCCAATCAGATGTTCCTGGAGTTGGTTGTGTCAACCTCCCTGAGGCATTCTTGGACATGGACTTTACCCTGAACTTAGAACTTATGCCAAATGAAATGTTCAAGTTCAAGATGTAGAGAGAGAACCTTGAGTGTAACATTAATGTCTCTGGGTTTTTCATGTTTAATCATTAACATTCTCACTGATTTCATAGATCACATCAGGACTGGTTTTTAAAATCATCTGGTGATGGAAAGAAACACTCTCTCTGATCTGTTCTGTTCAGGCATCTGAAAGATAAAGTCAGTGAAGAGCTGTTTCCTGTCTAATTTGCCCTGTTGTGAGAAAATGTGCTAATGGTTGGCTGTCAGTGAAATGAATACCCTCACCTTTCAAGAGTCCTTTGGGTTTCCTCTGCTTCTCAAATGAAGGTTTTGGTGGTTTTAAACATTTGATTGCACAAAAAAGTAACTTTTCATCTCTTTATTTTATATTGTGGTTTCAAAAAGGCAACTTAATTACTTGCGATTGTGCACTTGATCTTGATCTGATTTTATTTATAACAGTACTCTTACTGAGCTCAATACTTTTATCAGACTTTATCAATAGGATAAACTCTCCTCTCTATAATTTTGTCTAGCTGATTGAATGCTCATTACAAAATAAATCAGATGTTACTCAGTACTTGAGTAGTTTTTTTACCAAGTACTTTTTTTACTCTTACTCAAGTTATTATTTGGATGACTACTTTTTACTTCTACTTGAGTAATATTATTCTGAAGTAACAGTACTTTTACTTGAGTACAATCTCTGGCTACTCTACCCACCTCTGCAGACGCCCACACACACAAGTCATCTGTATGCTGAGATGAAGTTTCTTTTTCACACACACACTACCTTCAGAGATACTCTTTGTAATGTAACACACACCTGCACACACACACACACACACACACACACACCTTTTGTTCATCCTCGGATTCAGACATAGACAAAAGCCACAGCAGTGCTTCTCCCTGTGTTACAGCAACCAAACTTCATTACAGGGAAATAAAAGCAACTGGACAAAATAACAATTTCATTTCCTCCACTGAGCAGATGCCACTGCTTCCATAAGGACCTTACTGATTATAGGTACAGTCTCACGGACATTAATCCTAGGTGAGGATAGATAAGTACATTAACCAGGATCAACCCTGTTAAATTCAATCCGCTGCTCAAATGCATTATTTAAACAATAGGATATACACTGTGGAAATCTAAAAACTGCTGAGTCAGGCTTACGTCCTCTGAAAATTAGGTCTTCTTTCTTTCTTTCTTTCTTTCTTTCTTTCTTTTTTCTTCTTCTGACGCCTCACTTTGCTCTTGTGGTTGATACAACTTTGTTCCCTACTGATTTGAGAGAGTTGCTAAACCAGAGGAGAGAGAAGCTACAGGTACAAGAAGAACTGATAACTGAGGAACATGTTTCACTGATGAGAAGACTGGGAGGACTTCAGATAAACTACAGGAAACCTGATTTGAGAGAGATCTGGGACTAACTGAAGTTGCTGCTAAGAAAGAAATCACATTAAACAAAAATATTAGTATATTCGTCAAGATCTGGCCCATATTCAGCAGTCTATTTACCAGATCTTGACCACAAGAAAGAAGAATTTGCTTCAACAAGGACAACAAGGACAAGATGTCCATATCACACATGGCCAGGTTTACAACAGACTTGGCAGAAATTGCCTGCATCATTTGCTGTTTTACATTTGGGCCACAGCAGATCTAAATCGTTTCTGTCTGGGCCAGATGGAACCTGGCAGTGATGGAATGGTCCTTAAACTGTACCACTGCTTTTCTTTAATCCTTTTTGGTCCAATTTCATAAAAACATCTGGGTTCAATCCACCTCAACTAAGTAACACCTTTAGGTCTACTTCGACGCCAGTGAAACGAATGTTTTCTACTCACATTTCAGTGGTGTAGGTGGAGCACCTCTCAAGAGGGATCTTCAGGACCCTGTTGTTAAGTCCCACAAAGAGTGACCTGTCGCTGTGCAGGATCTGCAGACTCAGGATGGGTTCTCTTACTCCTGCTGGGAGAAGCTCCATCTCCTCCAGGTAACAACCTTGGAGGTTCTTGTTGGGGGTCGCCAGTGCCTTCAGGATGGTGCCATATTCTAGAAGGACATGAAGAACATGAAGAGATGACAAATGCCTCTTTTTAAAGACACAATGCGGTTGCTGGTTTGGATCCTGCTTGTGTCCTGCAGACCTGTGCTGATGTACATGACATGGTAAAGTGTGTCCATGCCCTGGACAATGTCCACAACTAGGTTGGAGAAGCGAACGTCGTCCTGCATCACCAGCGGATCGACCGATTCTGGTTGGACCACGTCGTTCATCAGGTACAGCCTCTGGGCGTCCTGCAGGCTGCGCTCTGTCAGACCCTCGTTTCGCCCGTCGTCATCTATTGTACCACACTACACATGCAGGAAAAATGCAAAGTAAAGGCAGAAGGCATATTAATAGGCAGGTTTAATTTGAACATCAATGTTCGCCTACACACTCTGATGCTCCTTAACACATCTAGAAAAAGTAGTAACACAAACTGGAGAAAACAAATACCAACTGAGGATCCAACTGAGGACACTGGCTTGGTTAACAACAAGTTAGTTATAAAGCTTTGTAACTGTGCATCTGTTGACTATACTCTACTAATAGAAAAGAGTGGAACTAACTCAACCTCGAGGACCACAGGATTGGCAGGACTTGGTGTTTGAAGTGTTTTAAACTTACCTGGAAGTTGTGGATGGGGTTTGGCGTGGGAAGCCAGGTGGAGCGAGGGTTCTCCTGGGAACGAAAGGGTCCGTTGAAAGCTTGGGCGATGGCACTCAGGTTGAACGCACACACAGCTGATGCTGCAATGCTGTTGCTTTATGGAGAGATTGAAAAGAAAGGCAAGTCAGCACAACAAGGGAGGCGAGGAATGATAGAAATAAATAAGAATAAGGATAGAAATAGAAATAAGAGAGGAAGGAGAAAATGACATTAATCCAAAGTCCGTGTCCCTATTATTACACACGGGAAGTCAGTGTGAAAGCATATCCAAAATTGAAAGCTTCCAGCTGTGCAATAAAGCTACTGTGTAATGGAAGTCCACATCATTTGTACCTGCGCTAAACAGAGCTATGTTGCACGCCTGCTTTGGCTGCAGGCTAAGCTATGCTATCAGTGCTGTACAGTGAAAGGCGTGGGCAACTTTAAGCTGAGGATAGAGGAAGTAATTGAACAGATTATGTGCAATACACACACACACACGTATATATACACACTGATAGCTGCCTCAAAGACTGGAGTAAAACCTGACTAAACTGGCAGTGGCAGCGGAGGAAAGTTATTGCGGTGACACTCTCTGTTCATAATGTAGTGCAAGGTAATGAGTTTCTTAACTTCCTGCTACTCCTGACTATATTCTCCACTCAGATTTATTATCATGCAGTGAACAGGCGACATGGCTTGTGAGGTGCTGATAACCCATCAATTAGAAGATACTGAGCAATAAGATTATAGTCGGAGAGAGAGAGAGAGGGCGAGAGAGAGTGCGAGCAAGGTTGAGGAGAAAACTGCAAGGAGACAGAAAAGAAAGAGACAAAGAAAGGAATGACTCTGGGAAAAAAAAGAATGTCACGCTGCTTCGTGCCTTGGTTTGGTACCTTGGGTAAAATATTAATCATTCAAAGTGTCTGGCTGACAAAGCCGAGGCAGGAAAGCCTCAGCTAAATGTGCCCCGAGGTTAGTTAAATGTTTCAGTGAGACCTAAACATGTGATTGTCAGCCATTAGCTTCTGTTCTGCTACGTTTTTTTTCATCCTCTTCGCTTCTGTTGTGATCTGACGTGTGCACTAATGTCATTGCAAAGAGAAAAGATTGAAACCACATCTGCAACGACTGCTGTTTGAGTTGAGTTTAGTTACTTTTAATGCAGAACAAGCAGAAACTTTTTTGATCACGAGGCGGGAAAAAGACTGTCTCCTGGTATGATGTCAGATCGTGACAGGTTATCGGACCCAGCAATGGCCTTTGGGAACACAATGTGGTTAAGATAATCTTAGATGAAAAGCTGCGAGTCACTAATTAATGTGAGCTTTATCGTTAATACACATCAAAGTGTACGGACTTCACTGGGATCTTAGAGGTTGAAGTGATTCTTGCACTTTTTGTCTCTGACCGCCGTTCTCGTCTCCAAAAGTCTTTGATCGTAGACACAGTATTCATTAATGGGTTGCCTGGTCTATGAAATTAAGTTTGCTCATATAAAATGAAA